TATAATATAAAAATAGTAGTAGTAGTAGTAATAGTAGTAGTAATAGTAGTAGTAGTAGTAACAACAACAACAACAACAACAATAATCCTATTATAATTGTGCTTGTCACACCCTCTCGTTATTTCGCAAGACCCTTACATCCAGTCAGTACCTCATAAATAATGTCCATTTCCATTTTGATTGAGTGGAAAGAGAGATAACGACACTACTTGGTTTCCGGGATAAAATGAAGAAGAGAAAGATAAAAAGAAGGGAAGACAGACGCCTTTATAGTCTGTTTCGGTAAAATGGAAAAAAGTTGTCAATTTCAACTCTTTTCATTTGTACCCCCTTATTTCTTATAGTAACGAGCAACATTTATATTTTTAATTGTTATTTCAATAGTTTGTTAAAGTTGTTAAGCTCAAATATTTATAGATGCGATAGTGATATTTCTACGGATATTCCATCATTAACTGAAGAATTAACATTCACCTGAAATTTAAAATAAGAAAACCGTAAAATTTTCACGGGTTAAAAGTAGTAGTAGCAGTAGCGTTGTATAGGAATAAAGTGACGCTGCCGACACTGGAGTTTGAACACAGATCACTAGTGAGCAAATGGCTCATTCCATTTTGAATGAGGGGATCAAAAAGGAAATGTATATATTGGAATTAGCGTGACGTCTAAATGATCACCATTTCTATACTATCCTCTATTACTATACAGATCACTCTTTCTATTCTATCAATATACGGATCGCTGTTCACTATACTGTTCCTCTATACTGATCACTATACAGATTACTATTCGGGTCACTGTTCGGTGGTTACTTTTCGAGCGATTATTATCGTGCTAGTCCTTATTAGTGCGAGTGATATTCGAAGGCGTCTGACAACAGCGTTGTTCACATCGGCGTTACAATAATAAAAAAAAACAAGAAAATCAAGTCGAAATTTGGTTTTAGATATAGATATATTTAACATCAAAAAATAAGAAAACAAAAGTTGTTTAAGAACAAGTGTATTTAACATCACAGATACAAAGGTAGGAAACGGGTACTACTCAGCTAGGCAGTTGTAGTACTGTCGCTGCTTACACCGGGTAGGTATTACTGGCACTATATATAGTGAGAACCGGTGTAATTCCCTTGTGTTAGAGGCCGGTGCAACAATTATGATGGTTATGAATAAGTTTATATCGATTACCAGAAACCGAATGAAATAATTATCAATAAGATACTAAAGCTCTCTCATTGTAAGTAAGAGAAAGAAAACTTGATGATTTCTATTAATTTTATAGAATCATAGATTTAAAAGCATATATGAATATATACAAAAACATTAGACAAAGAAAGGGAGGAGTAAGCTTAAGGAGATATTATTATAAATAATGGATCGAAATAACAAATAACAAAAAGGCAAACCGATTACCGATCATTGCATTTCACAGGCAATCGAGAGCAAAAAGAGGGTCCCACCTACTAAAAAAATTCAAATGGGAGAAAAATTAATACTAGGGATATATTTTCCCCAATTTTTAAAATAACTGATCTTAGAAAATGGTTATATACAAATAGTACATATAACACCACATATCACATTCATATTTGAGTCTCAGTCTAACGAGTTTAATATTATGACTCGTGTTTCTCGTTCAATATTTTTGGGTCTTCTAGCATCTTGTCATATTGGACAAAACTACCCATAGCGCAGCCTATTCAATGTTCCTTTTCCTTATCTTCTATACAAAATAGTTGTATTTCAAGTGTTTAGTGTTTCTTAATTCCGCATTCGGAATCTTTTTTTATGATGGATTCAGATTATATGCCATCGTTGTCTTCATTCCAATTGCAGATCATAGTTTCTGTTATAAAAAAAGGTTTATCTTAAATCTTAGTTCTTGGAATACGACGTAGAGTTTTAGTTCAGGATCATTCTTATCCCATGAATGCCAATATCATCAGCAACGTCCCCAACTCATCATCAGTACAGAAACCTCGGAAGGGAAATCACGAAAGTTGTTTTCTATTAGTAGATTCGTTTGGGGGGTGATATGGAATGCTTAATGATCAGAACTATACATGCGTCCTTTTATCCTGGGTATGACACTAAACTACATCCGATACCACGGCCTCTGATCGGGAGATTGGAGCTTTTGAATAGTATAGTACCACCTCTTGATTGCAGTTGTCCCCAAGTTCACCCTGACCGGGGTTGGTGGCTCATGTTAGTGCCCCAGCTATATACAACGAGTGTACTTCAAGACGAAAGCAAAACACTATGAACGTATAAAATTACATTTTATAATAAAAATACCAAAAATGCATATTTCTATTAAAAAATACCAGCAATACCTATTTATATTAAAATGACCTACAATGCATTTTATTTGAAGTTGAAGGCTTACAATTGCGTCCAAAATATTTATATTTCGGCATTATAACCCATAAAGTTTGATATTCCGCTAAACAAAATCAGCCAACAAGGAAGAACAGTTTCTTGACATTAATCTATATAATATCCGGCAATTTCTTAAATCGAACTGTATTCCAGAGTATAACTTCAACAAGACTACAACATAAAACACACATGTCTATGTACAAAAGCAGAGTATCATCTACCATGTACTCAATTGTGAAAGCGGAATAACGTACTTTTCTTACATCAAAACTCATAAGAAAATGAAATAATTTCGGCATTAAACGAGACATAAGGATCTGTCTATATTCCTGAGATGAGGTATTATGTACACTATTTATACTATTCGGACTATTGTCCTCATCTTTTTCGCTATACTTATTACAATGTTTCGACCATTGTACGCTCCGGCCTTCTTCAGGTGGTATGGAATACTTAATGATCAGAAATATACATGCGCCCTTTTATCCTTGGTATGACACTAAACTACATTCGATACCAAGGCCTCTTTTCGGGAGATTAAAGGTTTTGAGTAGTATTGGACCATCACTTGATTGCAGTTGTCTCCAGGTCTACTATGACCTGCGGTGGTAGCACATGTTATTTAGATATTGGCTTTATAACCCATAAAGTTTGATATTCCGCTAACCAAATTCAGCCAACAGGAAAGAACTGTTTCATGACATTAATCTATATAATATCCGACAATTTCTTAAATCGAACTGTATTCCAGAGTATAACTTCAACAAGACTACAGCATAAAACACACATTACCGCTTCTAATAATTATGTCTGCACAAACATGTCTATGTGCAAAAGCTGAGTGTCATCTACCAGGTATTCATTAGAGAAAGCAGAATATCATCAAAACTCACAAGAAAATGAAATACTTTCGGCATTATACGATCCATAAGGATCTGTCCATATTTCTGAGATGAGTTATTATCTACACTATTTACATTATTCGGACTATTGTTCTCATCTTTGTCGCCATATTTATTACAACGTTTTTGGCCGTTGTACGCTCCGACCTTCTTCATTGGTTGGAATGTCGAACTGAACCCTTTATTTCGCTCACTGGGGTAGATTGTTCTAGTTCCACGTGCCATGTTTTAATGGATGTCAATTATCAGTTATTGTACTTTTTGAATTTAAGCTCAGTACTAGACTGACGTAAAGATCTCATCAATTTACAGTTGAGCTGGCGAGATGTAGCCGTAGCTTCTATGCTGAACGTTTCTTTGCACGCTTGTGGAACTCCCTTTCGGCTCCATGCTTTCCAGCCAAACTTTAAATGCAATGTCAATCGCTATTTACTGTCCGCCTGTTTACTCTTTTCGCTTCCCGCTCATTATTAACGTTACTGTCCCTAATTCTTCCACATCCATTGTGTCATTTTGGCTTTACTGTCTTGCTTAGGGTGAAATAGATTTTAAAAAATTGAACAGTTTTAGCGCCATGTATAGTAACCATATGAAAGTCTCGAAATGACCAGGTGATTTAAGAACTAACAAGTGTTTTCAGTATATTTACAGAGTTCTTGGGCACATCGAGGCGGTATAATGGTTAGCAAGCTTATCTCGCTAGAACAATTACGACTAATTAGTGAGTTCGATCCACACTGGGTGCCCACTACTTTCGGCCTTGTGCCACATCTAAGCTACGCTTGGAAAATCAGTATTCACAGAGAGCTTAAAGGATCAATACCCATCTCTTCACACGGGCTAAATATTTCTGATGTAAATAGGCTTTATTAGTTCCTACCTTTGTCATAAAAATATAGCTATAGTCGGAAAAATATGATTGGTGTCTTTTGGGGAGTACTAATTTTATTGTGACAACGCTAGTTTCTTTAATAGAATCTGAGAGAGCAAACGTAACTCGTGAAAGTATTACAATTTACATGTGTAAATTTAATAAACCATTCTGTGATATCACGAGTGAAAAGTATCTAGTTGTCATAATGACGATGTTGAGAATCTAAAACTAGACAAATCGATGAAATTGTGATTATATTTTTTAACGCCGTGAATTCTAAATCGGTTTGTTGGCTTCTTTGTCCATCGGCGTGGGTGAGGGAAGAGTTTAAATTTAGTTTGTCTAAAAATAAATAAATAATTTTAAAATAATTCCCCCTCCCTAAGAAATATGGTGTAAAGGAAGAAAAAAAAACCCTGATATTTAAGAAAATCTATTGTGACAGAAAAGAGATAAAAGTAAGAAAAAAGCGAAGCAAAAGAAAGAAAGAAAGAAAGACAGAAGAAGCAAAGGGAAAATAAAGAACGAATAATGGTAGAAAGAAAGAAAGAAAGAAAGAAAGGAAGTAAGGAAAAAGAAAAAGAAAGAAATAAAAAAGAAAGAGAAAGAAAGAAAAAAATAAAGAATAAAAAGCATGCAATATAGGTAAAAAAAGAAGGTAGACAGAAAAGAAACCCCATAAAGTGAAGATTAGAAAAACAAATGAAAATTAAACAAGGATAAAGAAAAACAGATTAATAAAGGCAGTAAAAGAAAGAAAGAAAGAAAGAAAGAAAGGAAAGAAGGAAGGAAGGAAAGATAAAGATGATAAACGCATAAAGATGAGAAAACTAGTGAAATTGTTCAATAAAAAAAGAAAGGAAGAATGAAAGAAAAAAGAAAAGCCAATGACAGCGAGAAGAAGAAATGATGAAGAAAAAGAACAAGAAGGAAGAGAAAAGGAAATATTGTTTGAAAAGAGAAGCAGAGTAAAAATAGTAAGATAGAAAAAGAAAATAGATTGTAAAAGAAATTAGAAAATAATGCAAGCGAGTGAAAAACAAACATGGGAGAAAAAAGGTAAAAGACAAAAGGAAAATAGAAAAGAAGAGATACAACAGACGAAATAGCGAACATCAAATCTCACGAGATTAATTGCGATATTGCGAGAAAAAGAAAAGAGTTCGTAGAAATCCAGATTGGGAATTCTCGTAGAAAATTGCTCAGTCTACTTACAAATTGTTCATTCGACACTGAATTGTGCGCTCTGGTCGAAAATTGAAAAAAATTGTGGTCTTGATTCGTTTCTGTTTTCATTCTGCTATTTTTGTCGATTTTTCTCTGACACCTCCCCATCTCGCCATTTTCTTATATCTAAGTAAAAGTCAATGTGGTTGATATTTTGAAAACAGATTTATTTAGATAGTTGATATTTAAATTGCAGAACATAGATATACCAAACAAGATTTTAAATCTAGACATATATAAGTATTTAGTATAACATGGCATGTTTAAAAGGAACAAGAATAAGTTAGGGATAAAAACCTAGAAAAATAAATTACATGTGATATATTTTAAAGTCTCGCCAAAAAAAATCAAACTAAAAAGGATGTGAGTGCAACTTTAATTGAACCGTGAATTGGCGAACAAGCAACTAGACAGAAGGCGATATTTCTTTGTAAACAAAAAAAAAAAAAAAAAAGAAAAGAAAATGGATTTTGTTTTGGTAGCATGCAGATGGTCTGAAAAAAAAGGTTAGGTAAGTAACATTCTCCATCACCGACGAGTAGTGTGCAACATTTCCCTTCTGAAGACAATAAAAATGGGCAATATAGAAATCATTGTGTTGAACTATTTATAATTACAAGGAAACCATTCACTTGGTGAAATGATGGCATTTGACATTCAGTGATTAATAGGGACAGGTATTTCTTGGTCATTCTTTTGATGGCTGCCATCAAGCATGAAAATG